GTTGTGATCGAGCTTGGAGGACACAGTCCGAATGGACTCAAACTGGAGCATTCTCTAGAGAGTCCGGGGAGAGCCGGCTATTTCCAAGGAGCCTTTGGGAACGGATGTTGTCTACGGTTCCAAATGACTCCACCCCTAAGATACAGCCCTTTGAGCCCTAAAAAGTCTGGACTGCATAATAAATAATAACAAATAATATTTATTAAGTACTTCCACGGGTACGAAATGTGATGAGCATTTTTTAATGCTGTCTCGTTTGATAAGCACAATAAACTTTGAGTTAAATATTATTATCCTCATTTTATAGGTGAGGAAATTGAGGTTTAGAGATGTTAAAATAATGTCCCAAGATCACCCAGCATATAAGCAATCAGAGATTTCAGTCCAATTCTTATTCTAAATTCCTATTTTTCATCATTACACTATGCTGCCTTCCACTGGGTGGGTGACAACCTCCTGGGGAGGAAGCAGGGACTTATTCAGTCCAGGGAACACATAATACATTCACAGTGGCCACATATAATAACAGGGACTAAATTCAGGATTCTTTACAGGGTGGGAGGTGGGGACAGAGGTGTGGCAAAGTGAATGGGGACTCTACACACTTGCAATCTGCCCCTGGGATCTGATCTAGGCTCCTCCTTTGAGTTACACCAATTTCATGATTTTTCTAAGCGAACCTGCCCGTTTTGAGCTCAATGTCAGGAATCAGAAACTCTGACCAAATGAGGAGGGGAGAGAGAAAAAGGAGTAGGAAGGAGGATGGGGGTGGGGGAAGCAGCAGGCACTGAGCATGTCCACTGCAGCCTGAGAGCATTTACTTGTCTGAGGGCTGCATTTCTCTGTGGCTTTTGATGCTTAGCCTCTTATTAGCCCTGGTCTTGCAGAAGTCACAGGGCAGGGCAGGGTCATATGGGAGAGCCCAGGACCAGGGTTCTAGTTAGACCACCAATGTTTGTTGAGGCAGAAAAGGAGACTAGCTGATGTAGGGCAGGTGTGTGTGGATGGTGGGTCCAGGTGGGGAAACAGGATCCGGAGTTGGGGCATCTCTGTGGGCAGGGAGGACCGGGTGGCATGAGGGTCTGGAGCAGGTAGGAGGGCTCTGTGGGTCTATGAGATCATCTCTGTCAAGAGGAGCACAGGTAAGTTTCAGGCAAGTAAGCCAGGCAGGAGCACTTAGGACTCCAACAGAAGTGCCAGACAAGCTTAGGGGTTCTAGATGCTATGTTTTTGGTAAGTTCAGAGCCACCACCAAACTTGGACAGATCACTTCCCGTGACAGAATCCATCTGCTTCCATGCTCTTCTTAGCTGGCTTCCTCTGCTCAGGTTGGGTGGAAAACCTTGCCACGAGAGGGCAGTAGGGAGCCATTGATGCCTTCAGGAAGATGACTGCAGAGAACTGAGTGCCCTGGGGTGGCCCGAAATATCTAGGGAGAAGATTACCTGGGCACAATGACACCGATTCCTCGGCCCCAGAGTGGACAGTCTGATTCTGTAGCCTGGTGGGGGCCGGCAGTCTGCAGTTTTAACACACGACACACGTGATTCTGATTGCCACAGTTCCAGAGCTGGCTTGTGAGAAGGGCTCCCTTAAAGTGTTCAGAATCTTCTATTCACCTCCCTTAAACCAGGACGAGAAATATGATTGTTAGAATAATATCTGTTAAAATGTTTTATTTGGAAAATAGATCATACGACAATGAGTATATAAGTCTACGGTCATTTCAAAGAAGAATAAAGCAAACAGCTGTGCAAACACCTCTTAGGTTAGAAAGTTGCCAGCACCTTCAAAGCCCCTTGTGTGCACCTCTCATCTCACAACCCCTCTCTCTCCCCTGAGATAACCTTAATCCTGAATCACTCCTTTCCTTCTCTTTAAAGCTTAACACCTCTGTTTTTAATCTCTAAATAATATATTATTTAACTCAAGCCGATTTTGAATTTTTCATAAAAGGAATTATTTTTTCAGTTGACAGTATGGTTGTGAGACAAAGCCATGTGGATGCACGTGTTTGAAGTTCATCTCTTTGGATGGACACACCTATGTGGATTTATCTTCTCTCTTGGTGGACATTTAGGGAGCTTCCAGCTGTTGTTTTATTTTGTTTTGTTTCCTATTAGAAACAACGCTACTAGGAATATTCTTGCACCTGGAGAATTTTCCAAGAGTTTTTCTAGAATGTATACCTAGAAGTAGAATTTCTGGGTTTTAGTGTATGCACAATAAGCACTAATCAAGTGATAAATTTGATTACATCAAAATTAGGAACCTTTTAAAGATAGTGAAAAGGCAAGTCACACACTGGGGTAAGACATTTGCAAAAGATATAACTGGTAAAGGGTGAATATCTAGAGTATAGAAAGAACCATGAATCAATAAGAAAAAGGAAGACGACCTAATAGAAAAATGAGCAAAAGTCACGTGCACTTCAGAGACAAAGAAATCCAGAAGGCCGCTAAAAATATTAGAAGATAAACAACCTCATTAGTTATCAGGGAAATGCAAATGAAAGCCACAAGGAGGTATCAGCCATAGCTCACAGATTGGTCAAAATTTAAGAATCAGCCAATATCAAGTGTTGTTGAGGTTATGGGGCAATAGAAACTTTCACTCACTGAAAAGTAAGTGGCCTAATCACTTTAAGAAATACCAACGTTGTCTGACTCATCCTCTCAAGGCTCCAGTATTGGAGGACAGGTTGGAGAATGCAATGGAATCTGAGAAGCCAAGTGTCCAGTGCTGAAGTGGGGCTCTGAAGGGGAGCTTGTAGAGGGGTCTGTAGGAAGCTCTTGCCTCAGTGTAGCTGCGGTCTCTGTGGGTTCACAGCCAAACATCTGATGGGAGGCCTGGGGCTGCTACAGGTCAGCAGGGCCTGCAGTCTAGAAGAAGGGCTGGACATGGAGCAGAGGAGAGTGAGGCCAATCTGGACCCTACAGGGCATTTTATCTCATCACAAAGACCCTCAGAGAGGAATGTCTCCTGCTTCATTCACTTCTGCTTCCCAAATCTTGTCCAAGTTTTTCTTTTGGCCAGCTCTAACCAGGACATACAGGAAAGGGGATTCTAGGAAATGTAGTTTCCATCTGTATTAGTTTCCTATGACTAACAAATCACCACAAACTCAGTGGCTTAAAACAATGCAAATTTATTAGCTTACAGTTCTGGAGATCAGAAGTCTGAAATGAATTCAAATCAGTGTATGGGCAGTGGGCAGTGCTGGACTCCTTCTGAAGACTGGGAGAGAATCCACTTCTTTGCCTCGTCCAGCTTCTAGAGGCTGCTTGCATTCTTGGCTTGTGACCCCTTCCACCATCTTCAAAGCGCACCGCTCCAACCTCTCCTTCTGTTGTCACATCTCCTTTCTGATTCTGGTCCTCCTGCCTCCCTCCAACAAGGAGGTTGATAATATTTAGGCCACCTGGACAATCCAGGATAATCTCCCCATCTTAAGATCCTTAACTCAACTACATCTGCTACCCCTCCCTACCACATAAGGATACATATTCACAGGCTCCAGGGGTTAGAACGTGGACATATTTGGGGGTTGAGATTCACCTTACCGCCAAAACACAGTCCAGCCACCTTCCCCACCATCTTGGAGCCTTTCTCACTGGAAGATTTTCCAGTTTGCTCACCTAGGTTCTCCCACAGTGTGTGGTCCTCTCCTTTCAGGGTGTCTTGCTGGTAATTTACCAATCCTCTGGCTCATAAGAGCTTTCTAGACTTTTCTTTCTCTCTCAGGCCCCGCTGCTGTCTCATGTTTTGGCACACCGCCCATATTCTGGGGTTGGGAGAATTCCTTTCCACCTAGTTTTGTTGACGATGTCCTCAGTGTTTTTCTTTTATGGTTCTGGAAGCCATATCTGTTTTTTGTGACTTTGGGAGATGAAATAAAACTATACTGCCACCAAATTCTTGCTATCTGAGTGATCTGCACTCTTGCTGTGGATTTGAACCCATGAAGAGGACACCATTTCTTTACATTGAAGTTCGAAAATAGGCATGATGATAAAGGTTAATGAAGGTTTTCAAGAGGCTCTTTCTGAGAATGGATTTCCTAGCCAATCTCTTTCCAAACCATCCCCTAAAATAAGGGCACTAAACTTCTAAGCTGAGTGGTTATTTGTGCTACTAGAAACAAAATTGGATATAAGGGTAATGTGGCCAAGATATCCCTCCATTATGGTCAGAAATGAAATTGCAAAAGTTTAGGGTCAAGATGTTTTCTCAGTTGAAATATCAGTTACAAATACGTGTATAAAGACTCTACAGCAAATTGATTTGATTTCTTAGTGTCTTAGAAGTGTTTGGCTTAACTTCATCTCAAATGAGATTTCAGACTGTGACCCACAGCGAAGGAATCCCTTGGACCACCTACCTCAAAGCTTCTGCTGGCAGCCACAGAAACACACACACATGCACACATAGCATATCATTTGACGTGTCTGCCTAGCATGTGACCATCTCTGTGGTTATAATTTTCAAATATCTATTTCTGTACCCTTTTATGGAGAACTCAAATCTCTAGCAGAAAATATTCTCCAAACTAAACCTACTCATTGCATTTGGGCAGCCACAGACCACCTGGAGGGCCTTCAAAGACCAGATTTTCAGAAACTGTAATTTAGAGCATACAAAGAATTATGGTGTCTTGAGTTGAGGAGGACCAAAAAGATACCTGGTACAACCTCCCCCGAAATTTAAAAACTAGTAAAGCAAGCAATTTTTATTGATTCATATATAAAAAGTCTTAAAGTGATTAACCATGGAACCCAGATGTCAGTGACACCTCCCTGCCCTTTGGGGACTCAGGAAACTTTCTAACGGAACTCAGAACTCGGCTAAGCTCCTGCATTCACAAATGTTTCTGTTTTGTCTCCCCTCAACCTGGAAATACAGCCCTTGGAGGCTTCTGTAACTGGTCTTTCTCCTCAATCATCTCTTGAAGTTAATGACGTCACAGAGGAGTCTTAGGGGGTCATGTGACATAGTCCATATTCTGCCAGTTCTTGAATCCTCCCTTCTCCTCTCCTCCCTGCTCCCTCCTCTTTTCTTCCCTTCTCCACTTCCTAACTCCACCTCCATCCCTCCAGTAGGGGGCAGACAATCCCATCTCTTTGTGCTGAACGCCCTTCCCGCACCGCCTTGGTACCAGCCCCTACCCCCAACCCGCCTGAGACTAACTCCTGCGAGCGGCCCTGCTGAGTACTTTCCCCACAAGGATGGGACTTCTGTGACGAGGAATTCATCTACCAGCCGCTGATATAAGAAGAATATCTTCATCTCCTTACATATATGGCAGACAAAAATCATAAAATAATGAAACGTGAAAAGTTGTTCAGTCTCTTCCTCCGCAGAGGAAAACCATGCAGAAAAACCCAGACAGGTGAGGACAAATGTAAGGATGTCCATAGGCTTCTCCTCATAATTTCTTTCCTTAGCGGGTTCAGCAGACACTCCTTACCTGAATTTTATGCCTCTCCCACGGCTACAATCAGAATAGGTTGCTCTTCCTGCTTCCCTATCTTTTCCAATCTTGGGAAAGCCTTCTTCCCCATTAACTAAATCTGTCATGCTGTTCTTTCTCTGGTTTATGGGTACACATCCAAAAAGTAAACTTTCTACTGCTGGGTTTTGTATTTATTTCACTTGCTGTTGAAAAGCCAACCTTGCAGCGAACTGTACTCATTTGATATTCCCTATATAGAGAAATTGGTATATTCCTATGGCAAAATAAGATGGATTCTTCTGTTTTTCCTTAAGAGTTTCGTGTGCATAGGTGTTGTTTTTACTGACAAGGCAGCAAGGTCCCCGGAGCCTGCTTTATATTTCCTTTCAGCCTCCACCCAATCCAGCCTGCTGCCACCTACTCGCTTCAGAAATAAACATAAATCATTAAGCTTCATTGGGCTGCTTCCCACTAAGTCAGACAAAAGAGGGCACTGTCTTTATTCAAAGGACTTTGAGACCCAACATGATGTAACGGGAAACGTTGAACATAAAGTCTGACGGCCTGACTTCAAAAGCAGTGCGGTCAGGTTATTGAACCCCTTTGAGTTTCTCTGGTTTCCTTGTTTGTAAAATGAGTAATAATAATTACTGCCCAGCGTCGGGCTGTTGTGAGAATCAGATACAGTTGGGCATGGTAAAGTTCTGTGCAGACTGCAAAGCATTTAGAATATTGAGATGTCAAGCCAGGGTTTAGCCATAAATATGAGTGCCAAATAGGATATGAAAGGAAGGAAAAAGGGGATCCAGTCAATTCTCTGAGTCTTCAGGTGCATTTCTGTGGACTTGAACTTCAAATCCCTTCTTCCAGCTCAATTTTGCATATAAACCTTTCCTTTATCTGATGTGGAGGCAGACAAATGGAGCCTGGTAAAGAAACGCTCATTGGAGAAAAGATGTGTCTGTGGATATTCAGGTAAAATTAGATGAAACCAGAGAACTCAGCATTGAAAGCAGATGCAAATGGTGGCAGTCGAGTAGGGAGGTAGTTTTCCAGCTTTTCTTAGAAGTAAATCTTATGCCAAAGCTGAAAATAGAAAATGGGTTAAGGCAGAACTGCAAAGTGGGGGTGGGGTAGGATGCAGAATACCATGGAAGGCAGGGCTCCAGGAGCACAGTTTGGAAACCACTGGTTAAAAAGAACACCCCACTGGCCCGTGGCCGAGTGGTTAAGTTCGCCTGCTCCGCTGCAGGCGGCCCAGTGTTTCGTCAGTTCGAATCCTGGGCGTGGACATGGCACTGCTCATCAAACCACGCTGAGGCAGCGTCCCACATGCCACAACTAGAAGGACCCATATGCAACTATGTACCGGGGGGCTTTGGGGAGAAAAAGGGAAAAAAATAAAATCTTAAAAAAAAAAAAAATAGAATGCCCCAGGTGGCTAGCAGAGCTTTGCTGGATGGCTCCTGCACAAGTCACCTCTTTCCAGGGTCCCCACAGGGAAGGCCTCAGACTCCTCAGACCCTCAGAGACTGTGGTTAGAGACTACCTTCAGGAGACTAAAGTAAACAAGATGTCAACTACTCGGTTCCCAGTGAGAAAAACGGGCTGGACTATGGGCATATTTTCCCTGTAGTTAAGCTATATGGCAAACTAAACCATAATCAGAAGCCACTTTATTACTTTAGCGTAAGAAATCATGGTCACTCATTTTCATAAGAAATCTGGTCTGGAAATATTCAAAGTCTGTATCATTAACATTCTCTTTCCATATAGATGTACGTACGTGGCAGGATATAATCAGGAGGAATTACCACAAGGGGAATTAAAGAAATTAAATCTTTAATTGTCTCAGGCTAAAATATCCTGATACTTCTATCTTCTAATCCAGTGGACTCCAAACTTTATTGATTGTGTACCCCAATCGCGAAACTCTTTAAGCCCACATCCCCAGTGTATGTATATTTATTTATGAATTATGTACACCTTCTACTAATGTTTTGAGTATTAAACATTAATAAAATTTAATTAAAAATGAAAGTAGAAGTTCTAGTATTTTCTTCCCTCATTACATTGGAATATTTAATTGATCCTTCAGGGAAAGAAATGGATTCCATATCCATGGACTTCCTATGTGTGAATCGTCTTTCAATGGAAAAATTCAAAACATTCTACCAAATGCATAAGCTGTTTGGTGATAACTTTTCTCCAATTTGCTATATGAAGATCATCATCTACCTTCCTTGTAATTACTGTCATCACAGTGTGTAGGAACTGTGATTCCAAGATTCTAACATTTGTGCTTCCTCTTGGATCTTATCTACCGTTGGAAAGCATGCCACCTTCCTTCCTTGCATGGAAGTGTTATGATCATTAAAAATACTGAGAACATCAAACAAATAAGCAAGTCTGGGTGTCCAGTTCACATCTACAAAAGCTGGAACTAAACTGGCTTCTTATCTTGCAGAAACACTATGAGTTCACTTCATAGTGCAAACATTCTTGACTTGATAGAAGTTTCCCCCTCGATAACCATCATACCTCGTCAAGAAACGATGGTTATTGTTAGGGATCAGCATCCTTATTAACCCGTGATAAAGAGAACAATTTGAATTGAACATGTTGGCCTTGATGTCATTCAGCGTTTACTATGTCACTGAGCACACTGTGTAGTTCAGCCAACTTTTAAAAGATTTTTAATAAGATTTTCTCGATGAGTAAAGCAGTGAGCTGATTCACATTCACTGGTGCAAGCTTCCTTGCACCAGTATGAAAAGTATGAAGTATGAAGTATGAGATTATGAAGAAGTATGAAGTATGAAGGGAGTATGAAGAAGCTTATTGTCTAACCTACTCCATCAGCTTCCTTCTTCCTCTTTCCTACATTTCCCCAGGTCTAAAGAGAAAGACCTTCCTCTCACTTCTTTTTTATTTCATATATGTACTTTTACGGTCCTGTGTGGAACTTTCACACGTTAAAGAAAGAAATACAAGAATTTGGAACAACTTTCTCTTGCTCTGATTTAGGCCTTGTTTCTTTTTTTTTGAGGAAGATTAGCCCCGAGCTAACTACTGCCAATCCTCCTCTTCTTGCTGAGGAAGACTGGCCCTGAGCTAACATCCATGCCCATCTTCCTCCACATTTTATACGTGGGACACTTACCACAGCATGGCTTGCCAAACGGTGCCATGGCCACACCCAGGATCTGAAATGGGGAACCCTGGGCCGCCGATAGGCAGAATGTGGGAACCTAACCACTGTTCCACCGGGCTAGCCCCCTGTTTTTAAGACTAGTGTTTTGCTATAAAATTCTGTTTTGAATAACTGAAGCTGTTATTCACAATATCAATTTTTTCCCCACTTTGTATTCCTGCTGTAACAGTCTTAATCTTAGAGACGGATGACACCTCAGGTGCCCAGGGAGAAGGGCATGTACCCCCAAAATTTAAAGAGAAAGGCACATTAAGATTTTTAGACTCTGTCTTTCAGAGCCTTGTCAGTTGACTTCTACTGAAGCTTGGCAGTGTGTTCCTCAAAGTGTGGCTCGCGGCCTTATGTTTTCACAGCACTCACCACGCAGCGCTGTGGCTTGCAACTCTCTGAGGACTCTATGTCTGGCTTTGCTGTCATGATTGGTGTTTCCCCCATAATGTTCCAGCGACAGTAGTTCTGGACTTGCTCTTTAATCTCTTCCTGCCCACTGTCACCAGGGACGCTCTCATCCACCACAGGAAGTCTCCAATTCATGAATGGCCTGTGTTCGGAGCGTCTGTCAGTGTAGCATTTGAAACCCACAACTCGTTCTTCTGTAGAGAGAATGTTATAAGTGTTTGTTGGGTCTCCAGGTCAAATCACAAAGGCCCATTCAACCCCTACTACAAGTAATGAATTTTCCCTTTGCTCCTTCTGTATATCACAGAAGTATAGAACGTCAGAACCCAAATGGGATTTAGAACATCGTGCTATATACACTGGTAACAGAGGTGTTTTCCACTGTATTCTATTACAAATGGCATACATTCCATCTACATTAGACACTAAGTAGGGTCCTAAGGATTAGCCTGGAAACCCAGTCACCCTTTACAACATGGTAAATCAAACAGTCATAAAGCAGGACGGGTCTTGCCATGGAGAACTTCAACTTGGCTACTTTTCTTTATATTCTTTGAGGCACACTTGCAAAGACTAGTTCTTTGTCAATGATTTCCTTACATCTACATACAGACATGGCCAATACTTATGCACCTTAAATCACTATGATCATGGGAGCCACCACTGGGAAAAACAAAAGGCTCAGGTATTGGAGCAGAGGTGGGAAGGAACACCTTTTAGCATTTATTGAGCCAAGCAGACTTCCATCTTAGGGGGCCCTTATCTCTCCTGTCCTCTCGGACTGAAATGCTTTTCCCCCGATATCTCCATGGAGCACTCTCCCACTTCATCAGCTCTTTGCTCAAGGATCACCGCTCACAAGACCCTCAATGACTGATCTATCTAAACCAGCACCTCCTGGAACTCTGACCTCCCACCCCTACCTGACTTTTCTCTATAGAACTTTTCACTTGATTATTTGTCAGATTCCCCACCTGCCATTCCACCTCCACCTCCCACGGAAGCTTCTTGAGGGTAGGATTTTGTCTCTCTTGTTTACGGTCGTCCCCTCAGTGTCTAAAACACTGTCTATCCGGCATACAGTAGAAACTCAGGAAATATACTTTTAAGTGAAAGAAAGAAGTGACTAAGACCTATGCAAGATGCTCTTCATATGTTATTTCACATAATAGTCAAAACACTTCTATGCAGTAGGTTTCTTCTTCTTTTTAACAGATGAGAGGCAAAATTCCCTTAGTTTTAAAAGAAACTTTAGCAATACAATTTTGTGATTTACATATGCGTTTTATCAGTTTTTAATTGTTGATATTTTTAAATCTCAGTAAAATCTTCTTACATTCCCCACAGAAGAAATCTGAATTAAAAGAAATACTTTTTGGATTTAGTTACTAAACGGGATAAAGAATGGCATTCTAAAGTGGTTTGTCTGCAAAGAAATACTTTGAGGACAATTTTTAGGCAATCTGATTCAATTTCAGTGAAGAAATCTCAAATAATAATCACTCTGTGTTGGAGTAGGGAGAATTTAAAGTCTCTGTCCTCAAAGACCTTACAGAGGCATCATCTCTTTATCCTGGGAGAAATAATATGTAATCATTTTTCATTAGTCCATTCATCCATTTAATGAGAGTGAATTTTGCCCATAAGGAATTCTATTCCAGAAAGAAAGATAGCTCTGTAAAAAATTTTGCTAACACAATGAGATAATAGTAACAGAGAGCTCTGTATAAAATGCTATAAGAACATGTGGAACTGTAGATTTGTCATCCTTTTTGTCCTTGATTATGATCAAGGTTGCATATGAAACTCTCTGAGAGTCTTTCTGAAATTACTTTCTTAAACATATTGAATGGTTAGGCAAAGTTGGCACATCTACAAAATGAGACGTGCATCGGACCACAAAGGATGGGACCCATACATGAAAAGCATCTTCTCATTGGTGGCCTCAAAGCGAATGTCCACAGAAATAGAAGAGGATTCAGAGCCATGTTTTGTGAATTAACGGGAATGAGAACAACTTTGGAACTAGATGAAAAATTGGATAGAAACCTGGCCCTGACTTAACTATGAAATCTTGGACATGATACCTGCTCTCTTGAATCTCTCTGTCTCACAGGATTGCTGTGAAGAAAGTTCTAGCACAGACTGAGACTTAACATGTGCTCAGGAGATGTCATGTAACAATAGCTACCTTGTTGTCCTAGCTTTGGGTTAAACTTTACACATATCACTTAATCAACAAAATAATCTTTTAAGGATAATTATTCCTATTTTACAAATGAAAAGACAGGGTTAAAGAAGTCACATATCTACTTAGTGACTGAGTGACTTCAGCTGCGAGTCCATTTTTACTCCCCTTCCAAAGTTAAGCATTACATAAATACTGTTTTAATATCATCTGGTTCTTTCTGTAAGTTGCTTAAGGATGTCATAATATAAAATAAAAATGTGTGTACACAAATCTATATCAGTTAAATTCCCGGGGTTATAAAACTGTCTTTCCCTCATGAAGTGCTAATTTTCATTATGTTGCTGTAATGCTTCACAATTTTATTTCTTGACAGTAGATGGCGCTGCTGATCGTCAAAAGAGACAAAGATGCCGTCATGCACCACACCCCTACTCCTTTCCTTGGCCATTTAAAAAAAAAAAAAAAAAGCTAGTGAAAAGAAAGTAAAGATTTTCATTCCAATGAAAGGTTGAAATTAAGAGTTTGGAACTGCAGTGTAATTGAGCTGGACGTGTGTATGATCCATGTGTATTTTATTTGGTACTCTAGGGGAAATCTCTTAGGCTATTCACATGATTTCATTAACAGGATTAAAACAAAATATAATAAAATTTAATTATCCAGACATACAATAAGTTTAGAGTTCTTTGTTAGACAGGTTTTGTTGTTTGCACCATGATTTTAGGAAGAGGTGAATATTAAGACAACTAGGAATTTAGTTTAAAATGGATGTAAGTTCCGTTCCAGAGTCCTCAAGATGTCACACAGGAATATGGCGGTCAAGATGAAAAAAAACCAAACAAATTAATTATCTGACCTTTGATTAAGTTACTTAACGTCTCAGGACATAAGTTTTCTCATCTGTAAAACTTAACTATTTCCTGCCTAGTTCTCAGGACAGCTGCATGGATCAAATTCAGCAATGTAGCATAAACATCTGGGGAATTATAATGTCCTATATCCAAATGAGCCTTTATTTATTTTTTCCATACGTTCAACCCCACCTCACATAGATATGAACATAACACGATGAAATCTGAAATTCACAATAAAATTCAATTTCCTTATTTGTCCACGAACAACTTAATAATCTTTGGTATATTAGATTCACATATGAAAAGGGACTAAGGT